TTAAAGAACTTTATAATATCCCTATAATATAAACAAAATATAAGTTACATATGTTTGGCTTTATACCTTACAAGTTTTGTCTGAAGCACTTTTCTGCATCACTCATACTTTTCAAGTTATTGAGGTTTCTCCAGAAAACGGCCGTTTGGTCGCACTGTGCGCCGCGGTGACATCAATTCGCGCGCATGCAAATCGCGTTTACCATTAACATAATCCAACCGTCCGCGGATAGAGACGGTTGTCTTTCTATATTGTTACGTAAGAAAGAAAGTATGCGAAGCGTGTACTGTACCATCGTTAAGAAATGCAAAATGAATGACAAATGAAACGAACGACTTGAGCGCGAGATGCACCCGATCCGTCAAACGCAAACGAACGTCGAGTCGCCAACAGAAAGCAATGACAGATCTGCGTAAACGCGTTATATAATTCTAAACGTTTGGACTTTTCACGGGTGAAGTAACGTTTGCTATTTTCTAACTTCCTGTAACAGAAGTTTTAATCCTTTGCACTTTACAGACGTCTATCAGTCGCCAATTGATTTGATACAGGAAAATGGTAAAGTTTGATATTTACTGTTAAACTTTGTATAATGTACGTACATGTGAAATATTGAAATAAAATAGTTTTGTTCCTCAGTTTATATGTGATTTCTCGTTAAGCCAGAAAATTTCGTCTGCATTTCATTAGAAAATGTTGAATATTTCCAGTGAAAAACTTCTGGAGTGCAAAGGGTTAACAGTTACTTCTGTGAGAGGATGAATAGGTGATTGTTGATTTAATACAGACATAATGTATGAAACAACTTTCGGATAAACAGAAAGAATTATATATTTTCATTTATTTTTAATACTAAAATAACTGAGCATTTAACATGATTAATATGTAATCCTTAAAAAAATGGTAACGACAGACTTCTTTTGGTTCTTCGTGTATTGATTACGGTATTCAAGTATGGCACCAATGTTTCATCAGTAAATAAATATTTATAGTGGTAAATATAGTCGAATGCGAAAGGTTAAATTTTTATGTTACTAATTGCAAGATCTGAGATGTTTGATGAAGAATGAGAATGGTTAACAGCGCAAGTAAATAGATAATAACGTAAGGATTGTGATATGAAATAATTAATAATGGTTTTTATTTATCTGTGTTGCGAAAGAACAAGTGATATATAAAATACTCAAGATTCTCGTGGTAGCCAACGTGTTTACTATCTTCGAGAAACAGGAAGATATTCTGTTCATTATAAGTATACATTTTCATTGAAGATTGAATACTGATAAATAGCTAAACAGTTTTTTTTTATTTTTAGTTAAGCGCACCGAACGATAGTGAAGTTTATTAAATTCTTTTGGAGATCTTTAGCGCGAGAATAATTTGATATTATAATATAGAGATATTTCTTGGAGAATCGCTTTTAATGACTTTTAATTTTTACTTACCTATTTTTCTGTGTATTTGTACGTTTAAACAACCTTCTACGTAATGCGCTGTTTAAACTAAAACATTACAATATTTTTGCATATGTAAATTTATTACTTTCAAAGCATAAGCTCACGTAAAAGTGTTAAAAAATAGAGTTTCAATGCGATTTTCTGAAGTTTCGACGAGAACAAATTGCGCGAAAGATAATATAGAATTGAGTACATGAGTTAAATATAATATAATTAACTATAATAAATTATATTGTTTAGATTAATTGATACCTTGAATTAGCTACGAATGGCTGAGAAGATAAATAAGATTTGGAAATCTGGATCAAATAAAATGGATAATTGAAACTCACGTCCAAACATTTAATTCAAACGTCGACTAATTCATCTAACATCAACTAGTTGACTAAAGTAAAATGTTGGTAAACTGTATGTTATCTAGAATAAAATTTGTCAAGGAAACAAGATTGACAAAGAATAGAACTCTTAGTATGACCTAATAATAAATACTATACGCATGTTGCGTCTTTATCTACTGAGTTCAATTACGAAGAACAAAGAAAATTCATTTTACGTAACATATCAACGATAAGCTCAGAAGTAAATTTAATAATAAAAGTTCTTATCAATCGATCTCCAGCGATCGATTGACACGTTATTGTCGATTATTCGAAATTCGATTATCGGATATAATAGCTTAAATCTGGATTATCTTCGAATATGGGGCATAAATGGACGATTCTTGGAAAATGTATAACGAGTGAGTCACCCGAGTGACTCATACAGTTTCCAAGATAAAAAATATTTGACAAAAAAGTTGTTTGATTTTTGAACGATCATCATGTGGTGGACAAAATATTAATTAGGCAAAATTGATTAAGGTATTCAAAGGTTCGTTCTTTTTTATTATAGATCTTCACTTGGTGATTTCAATTGTCGTAAGCATTCAAGGTCACTTCAGATTGTGGATATTAAAAAGGGTAAAATCTAAAAACTCATTGTGACATTTGTCCTTTTTATAAATACGTAAAACAATAGTATATTGGTGTCTACAATATCGCATTACACTAGTGCTGAAGATTTTAAAGAAAATTTAACAAATATAAATATCACTTCATTCATCCAAGTCCGAATGGAATATTATTTATCTATTATTAATTCTAATGCTTCTGAACAAACGTAGACATAGAATAAGTGTAGAATTTTCCTCTTTTTCCAATGAATTATGAGGAATAAAATATCTCTGTTGAGCGCAACTGGGAAAGAAATCATAGAGCAAGAGGTTAACACTTTCGCTGCCACAGTGGTCCATGGGACCGGAGCTTCGAAATAATCCAAAAACAATTATAGTTCATAAGACAACCTATGTCAAATAAAAAGTTCAATAACCTAAATAACTAGATAACAGTGTAATATATACGTGTAATATGATACGTAAAACACTTGTTTTTCGTGGCAGTCAACGTGATAGTCGTGTTATTGGGGGTTCCACAGAACACCATACGACCAATTGCGCCGATTGCGATTTTAGGGACACTCTCCATATGAACGATGAGTCAATTATTCTCGTCGCAATAAACACGTATAAGGAACGAATACAAAAGGCATAGAGGCACGTGTATCGGCTCGCAAGCAATATCATAAAATAAGCTTCGCGGGGTCCAGCCTTATGCACCAATAAGGCAGGCTTCTGGCCAGGTCAATGCTTACTGGTTTTGTGTTTCACCTCGTTCCCGCGCCTGTCGTACTTCCAGCGACATCCGCTTCGAGCGAAATACTTGAACATTAACCCTCGCCGTACCACATCTGATTGTGAGTCCATTCGGACCCTACACTGATGACTATTATTGTAAAAAAATAATAGATTTGTGAAAAAGAATAACAGATTTCCATTATCTGTATATGTTTCTATTATTAACTGTTATGCTTTCACCCTTAGGAGCACTGAATTTTAAAGAAACAGGAGTTTACTATAAGAGTATAAGTAATTTCAATTAAGTTTTGTCGGTTAAAAAATATCCCAACATGTATTAACTGTAAAAAAAATGTAAGACAATTTTAAATCCAGCTAAACCCAAAGGGTTAAAGAAAACGTGGATATAAATCAACGTGAAATTCTTTGTTCCTAGTAAACGATTAATGACGATGCAATTATAGCGAGCTCAGTGATAAAAGAAATCATATGACAAGAATTTAATTACATTTTTGAACAGTATAAACTATTTCATTTTATTTATACAATAATAGTATAAATTATTTTATTTTTCAATCGCCTATCCTAATATTCTTTTTTACACAAGGTAATAGAAGATTTGATTTGCACAAACGAAATATAATCGTCCATTCGAAAGAAATGTTACGGTCGGACGCACACACCTAGTTGCAATTGCGAAAAACGTATAAACCTGAAAACATACCTAATCCTTTTCCTTAATTACAATTGAGAAGGAAATGCGATTTCTTTCAGTTACGTGAATCATCCTGTATTATGACATTAACCTTTAACTGTCTGACGCAGTTGATTTTGAAAAATGTTCGGATTAACATTCATTGATTGCTCAATAAAACCTGTAAGGCGGAGGACTTAATAGATAAAAAAAAATATCAGTTCATTCTGAGTCGACGCCGCGGCAAAATGCACTTTCTTCTTACACCGAGAGGAACGTAAACGCGAAAGGTGCAACGCGTCCTAGTTTCTTAAGTAACTTTGCTCATATATATATATATACACACAGTAACGCCATTCGTTTTCATCGATCAAGGTCATTGCGCGTTTATTTTCCTTCTGTCGATGGATCTCTAATTATCAATGACTAATCTAAAAATTCCGCCAGCCAACCAAGAATTTTAAAACAAACATAGGTTCCACGTTACATTAATGTAACATTTACGGAACCTGACAGTTTGACGGATATTAATTTTTGTAAACGTTATTTGGTAAAAGTTTATGTTTATTTTAATTGATGAAATTATTGTATAAACGTTCGTAAATCTAGTGTTAATGCATTCACTACTTGTAGTCTTATATATTTGTGTACATTTTATATTTCAAGTATTGAAAAATAAATTATATCGCAAACGTGAATATATTATTAAATAATGTTATATTATTATGTTAAGCAATGTATATACTGTAATATAATGGCATATCAGGTGTAACTACAAAATACTATTGTAAAAGTAGGAGCATTTATTCAAATAGAACGTATAAATACTACAAATAATTTTATTATACTATTGTCAACTTGGAAAGTATCTTTGACAAAATGAGAACGCCAGAAAATAAACAAAATAAACAAAATAATGCTAAACAAAACATTACTGGGCCAAGAAGGTTTTATTTATTACTCAAAATTCAACAACGATAGAATGATTTCATATTAAAATTCTATGTAGTGTTGAAATAATTAGTTGACTTTCATCGCATATTTGTTGAGGAATAAATAAAACAGTACATTTAATACACGAACCATGTAAAATAAGTTATAACTGTCGTTCGAGCTGTTTGAACTGTCGAAACTAGAAAAACTTGGCCAATATTAATTTTTACCTTTTTTTCTTCAGGGGAAGAGTCTTCACCGCAGGAGCAACATCAGTATGAAAAGAAAAATTCGAGCTTTACGATGCACGTAAACGGGCATTCAACACACAGCACGAGGCAAAAAATGGGTGAGTTTCAACTGCGCAAATATTCTTTTAAAACATTATAACAAGCACTAGTGTTCATTATATTTTTAATTACGAGACACTGTATGTCCACCGTCAAGGTTTTCTCCTTATTTCCTCTCCTTCCTCGTAAAAATGTCATTTTTAAAAATTAGTTTTATACTGACACTAAAAAAGCAATACATTTGTTCATGACTCGTGTGCCCGTATTTTTCATATTTTCTTGGTAAGTATGCTATAAAATACGTATTTTCGTAAACATAAATTCTTGGAAAATATTTTAATTATTGAACAGTTTTTGTACCTAATATAAATTCTAAGGAAGCGATTATGTTTTCCTTTTGTAAGTGTGTGTATGTTTCCAAAAAAATATAAATAAATAAATCGAAAACATTGGATAGATTAAATAATTTATATATTTAATAATTTAATTAGTTGTTTAGAAAAGCATTGGAATAATTGGAATAACTGTAATAACAAATTTTGCATACTTGTGAATATATAACATTTTAAATGGTTTATTTATTCTTTAAATATTTCAAAATTTTGCGATGTACATTGACTTTCTTAAATGTCCGAAGAGAATGAATTAGTTTTGCAAACGATTGACTTGAGTTTGCAACGGGTAAATTTGATTTGTAAAAGATTGAATTTGGAGTGCCATATCAGTAGTCCATTTAACCACTTGGCTTATGATAACATGTCAAGCTCGCCGTAAAAATTTTAAACAAAATTTAATAAGTATAAATATTATTCTTCTATTATTAATTATTACACGTTAGAGCAAATATGGATATAGACTAGAATTTTTGTCTTTTATTTAATAAATCATTAATTTCAAAGTAATTGTATCGATCATAGTTGAGAAATAAATCGTAGAGCAAGTGGTTAAAGATACTGACAAAAACGATTGCTCCAATCCTCTCGAGAGTATACGCACCTCAAACAACACAATCATCATGCGGAAATATTAAAAACTAAAAATAACAGTGTAACAAAGGAATCGTGTGTCTCTGGTCCTCAGTCGGAACATTAAAAGTCATAGCTTCGGGAACTACAGGTAGTAAACCTCGATTGATATTTGCTGATCCCAGCGGCGCCACACGAGCGCTTCGCGACGTAGAATCGAATGTGCGTCGTAAATGCAGAGAATAGATATTGTATGGTTCGTTCCTTTTGTTTATCTTATTTCCTGCAGTACCTGTTGGCTTGAGCGTATCATGACTCATAGGTAACCGTTCTTTCCTGCAATCCACCCTTTGCTAGGGCGGCTGCATCTAGGTACATATATAACTGATATTTTTTGGGTAAGTTGAAGAAAAATGGCCCACTTTTCTCGAAAGGCCTATTACATCATAAATATCGTTAATACCTACAAAATATATTTATAAAAATAATTACATATACGAGAAATAGTTAAGTAGGCATCTATGTAAGATTCAGTATACCATTAAAAATAATTGAAAATATAGATATTTTTTGCCCGGAAATACCTTAAATCTCGTAGTGTAAGTGTTAGTAGAAAATTAGCATAGATTCTTATGTATCAACACCTTGAGATTTCAACAACTTTTGCTTTTAACCCTTTACACTCGTATGTCATGCTGGAGACGACAATGTAACTTTGTTATACTTTATTTGTGGTACTTTAAATAGTACCGCACTTTAAAAGATTATAAACATTCAATCTTATAATAATAAATAAAATAAATATGAAATGTCTAATTCTACCACTGTAAATTACTTTAAATCATTTCCCTAAAACATAAATACAAGGTTACATCCAACAATATTGAAAATAAATCGAGTGCAAAGGGTTAAATCTACGACTGTGGTGGCAGGTGATGTGTACACAAGAGTTTTCAGTAAATTCCAGACATTTCCAATGGGGTTCATGTCTGGAGAATATAAAAACAATTTACTGCTTGAACAATAAACTCTCAATAATAGAACGTTATATATAATAGTATGCATATTGTTACTATGAAAATATTTCATATATATATGTATATCTTTAAGACGTTAATCAAAATTAATAGTAATTACATTTTGGACTTCTACTTGCACTGGTGGCCCTAACTTTTTGACCAGGGACTGTACATTGATTGAAAGGCAGAAAATAGATATTGTATGGTTGCTGCTGGCGCATGTTATATAAGTCATTCAAGGTGTCGCGATGACGCTACGGAAAGGTGTGCGCTGTGTTCATCCTGTTTTTTCCTCGTCAATGTCGACCCTTCATTTAGCTCTGCCGAGCCAAGCGGTTAACGGTCTTCGTTGGAATTTCGCGAATTCCAACGTTCACCGGGCATCTGAATCCGGTTGGGGTTATCTGTGACATTCTGGCATTCCATAGACTTCATATGATTATTTTTAATAGTATATTATGTATCAAAAATGTTGTAAATTTTACACCATTAAAATGGTAATATTTGTAGTTATTATTCTAGAAAATTGTAAATATATCGTGACTATTCCTGATTGTATTATGTAATTGGTAATAATGACCAAAAGACAAAATGTCTTGAGTGTAACGTACGTTGATTTGCAACAATAATATCATGTCTTTATTTCTTTGGTGAGCATTATGTTTATATATTATATTATGTGATTAGAAAACTTAAAATTGAATCGTAGTGGAAATCAATTATACAAATTATCGAATTTACTCTATTTCTTCTAATACTTACTTTTTTATTCATAAATGGTCTGAACCATTAGAACCAGAAAGAACCGCTATGTCCTCATTGTAGAAACAATTAATTAAAATTATTCACATATTTTTATTTAATTTCTAATAACATAGTACGCACTATAAAAAAATATTCACGCAATTCCACTTATGTGCGAACGAAGGAAACTATTCCCCTACTCACTGTCACACGATTAATTTAAGACTGACATAGTTTCTATAATTAAAGAACCCAAAATATTACTAAATATTAAATCAAAACTGAAGTTGGAAACTGTTCTATTCAATTCTCTATCAAATATTTTAAACTAATTTAATTAGTTGCAACAATGTTTCAATAAAATTGAAAACTAAAGAAAAAATGAAAGCTATAATAAGTGCTAATGGTAATATTGACAATAAAACATTAACAATTGTATTTCTTCCTTGCAAGTGCGTATTAATATTTCACAATACGAAATGCACTAGTTTAAAAACAAGATTTTCAAAACCGGACATTGATAAACCACGTATCTGCCGTTACAGAACAAAAGAGAAGAATGTCGTAATATTGCGTAATCTTTTGCAAGCTATTAATAACATCATGTGTGTACACAATTAAGCAGCACCCACATTGATACTCCAGACGTTTATGTATCGAAAACTTTAGCCTTTCTAAAAATATTATCGCTGGTCATCTTGGGTTGTACTTCATCCTGTTACATCATTGTGCTAACAACGTATTGAATATTAATTCGCCTACACAAAAAACAACAAATGAAACTATTGATTTTACATTTTAATTTAGATTAAGTAAGTTGGGATTTTTATTGGCTACGTAACCTCATGTACTAAAGCATCAGATGATATAACGAAATCAGTAATTAACATTAATGTGAGAACACGATTGTCATGTTTATGTTCTTATAAATAAATAAAAGAGAAAACTATTGCGAGATGAAATTCATTCCTTTTTAACACCAAATGCGTGTACTATATAATTAAGTAAAACATTTTACAGCATAAAATGAATAAAAGTTATTTTTTATTTATAAAAATGAATTTCTCCTATTTAAATTCAGCTACTACAAGAAAAAACAATTTTATTGTTTTAAATGAAAATATCTAATCGTTTTTGTTACTTACACAGGTTTCCTACTTACATGCATAAAATAGGTATTTAGAAGTATAAATTATAAATTACTAGGAATATCAATAAACAATGAAAATCTTCAAGATTTTGAAATAACTAACAAGTTTAACGAACTTCCGATCTGTTGAACATCTTTGCAATAATTTATTAAAGAAAATCGAAGTCAAATTAATGAACCAATAGTTATAGAATTGATTAAAAAAAATAGTATTTAAGAAGGATTTATATTATTAAACAATGAATTTTGTTTAGCGAAAGACCAAATTTATTAATTATACGTTAATATCCACAGATCTGCCAATAAAATATTTCCAAAGATATAGAGATCAAAAGTTGTAATAAAATCGAATTAGATATTACTTTATTTGCACTTTGATGAGATCATTAACCAATAAAATGTAAATTTCCTTAATTCCAGTTTCTACCCGTAAAAACATAAATTTCCGTGATCATTCGTAGTTTTCGACTAATTCGAATGAATATTAATGGAACTCTGGTTTTCACGGTTTGTTTTCATTGATCACCGTAACATATTTCTCTAAGAAAGTGTTGCAGCGTTAGAATTCCCAGGGGTTACGGTTAATAGAAAATTCTTGCCAATAAAGTATGAAATTTAATATCATTCCTGGTAGTTTAATTAAGTATACGCCAATGTAATTAATATCTTGAATATTATTAAATACCATAGGAGTTGAGTAAACCTCATTAAAATCTATGATTTAGTTCATTTATTGAATATTTCCCGCGGAAGTGCGATTCTGTTCAGCTTGGCCTTACATTGATGACCGTTCATCCGTTAGAATCGTTCCGGAGAATGACATAACAGACGTAATTTTAATGGAACACCTTCTTCGATATAGGACAAGCTGATTTCAAGAAATTACCTGGGTGTGCCGGTATCCAGGAAGCGATACGTTTCATTAAGGGAGAACCTAAATGGTAAATCAATTGACTCTAACCTTATCTCCGGAAATTGCTACGGTCGCTCAGGCTGCATTTGCGCGATGGGAATTCCGAGTTGAAAATGAATGAAACGGGAAATATTAAGGTTGCAATGATGATCTTTGGAAAACTTTTTTAAGCGAAGCATCATCGAAGAAATTAGAACATTATAAAACATACGTTGCTCTATTGTTCATATTATTATTGAGTTATTAATTGAAATTTTTTGTATTTCCT